ATGAAGTTTTATTTTAATCGATGGCCAGTTTCTGTGTTCTGCTGTGTGAGCGCATTCGTACCGAGTAGTATGAACGCGCTGTGAGCGTCTGCTTTGAAAGAACAATGAGTATTCTCCTGTGGAGGTTTGTGCTGTTTACAGTTCTTTTATCAACCGAGGCAGGGCTGGTTAGAGCTGTGAAAGGGATAAAGTTACAACTTCTGACAGAAGGATTGTCGTGTTTGAAATTTCAAATAGAATATTCCTTTTTCTTTGAAGAAATGACCTGTTGGAAGGCAGTCGCACTTTTCGAGTGTTGAAATGTCTTTGTGCAGAATTTATTTCCTTGTAAACTGGTCTTAACAGGAACTTTATTGCAAGTTCTTCTTCCCATCGTTCCATTCAATGGAAACTCTTTTGGTTTTCTTCCTTTATTTTATGTTATCACTTGACTTTTCACCCCGTATTTCCTTGAATTCGTGTATTTATGCATGCCACCCATCCAGTTCCGACTTCGGGGGTTGGGAGGGGGGGGGTGGAGAAGGACAAATTACGGCACTATTTACCCTTTACTGCCCCAACCATCCAGAATTGAGCCAGTTTCTGACCGACTTTTTTCTCCGTGGACAGATTTGGCTCAAATGTTGTCTCCTGGGGTATTTTGACCTCCTGAATACGAATATGACATTCGCTTAGCCCGAAACCTCCTGGCGCTCGCGTTACAGGCGCCGGTAATCCGGGGTATTTGGTGCCAGCGCCTGACTACCCCAAGAACAAGTGTTCAGCGAATTTGGTGATTTAAGGTACTTGGCGCGGGCGCCAGCAGGTTCCGTGCCTAGCCTATGCTATCATATTCAGGAGGTCAAACTACCTCAGGGACAAATTTTCAGCCAATTCTGCCACGCAGAAAAAGTCGGTCAAAAACTGGCCTGTTTTCGGAAGACTGGGGCAGTAAAGGGTAAATAGTGCCGTTCTTCTTTAAAATGTGGCCACATCCAACTCCCACTTAGAATCGTATAGATTTTGTGCTAATAAACTGAGCGGGGAGCACACTTGTAGGCCTTTCCAATGTGTGTCTTTTTTTTTCTTTTGTCTTTTCCCTATCTTGTTTGGACCTGGAAATCCTGTATTCCTGTAAAAGCACTGTGATTTCCTGTCAAACTTGGCGAAAGGGAAATAGCACCATTATCTTTTCAAATCGTGATCCACTCATTTGGGAAAAATTGGCAGGAGTTTACAGTGTGCTTGACAGGTGATAACAAGGCTTACACGGTGTTGACAAGGATATCCGGTGTTCACATAAATACATTTGCAGGACCTGGTATGCTGCAACCCCTTATAGTTGTGCCCCCCCCCCTCTCTAAGTTTATTGGCGCCAAATTTCTTCGATTATGAACGGCTAGCAAAAGCTTTCTGCTAAAGCCTAGAGGGAAGCTGTGGAGCGGTGGTGGATAACCCATTCCCCAAGTTCTCTCCTTAAGTTTTGACAAGAATCTCTATCCATCTGGTTCACAACCTTGTTCAGGCATCAAGCACCGGAGAGCACTGACTGTAGCCTAGCACAAAAAGAAGCGGTGAAGCTGGTACTGTTTCCTAGCTTCACAACAGTCTGCAGTTTGAAAAATAACTCGGCACGTTGGTAGGAATCAACTAAAAGCGCAATTCGGCTTGTTCGGCACTAAATTGTGTTCAGCTAAACTGGTACAAGCCAAAGTGTGAAGACCGATTGCTGTGACTGAACTGGTTCACTTGTACCATTTTGCGAGTTTCCAAGTGTTTGCAGTTGTCAAAGGATTAGAAAAAATTTTCTAGCTAGAGGAACTAGCGAGAGTGCGAGATGTCCCCTTCGAGCCGAAGAGCGCTCTAACCACATATCCCTTTCCTGTATGAAAGCTCCTAAATCTTCACGATTTTCCTTTTTTCAAGTTTACATTTTGTTTCGCCGTAGAAATGAATGCTGCTCGATTACTGGAAACTACTGATTATTTCACAGTTTACCTTAGAGTTTGAGCCAAAAGGCATTTTTTCACATGAGCACTGGTGATGTTCTGACATTTCGTTGAATCACAAGTTCGGTTCGTGTTCTCTATTCGCATGCCGATTTCTGCCGTCGTCCCCAGGGATATGTTGGCAACTTACCCAGTGGATTGCCATTTCTCCTAGATGGATTGTTATATTTAAGCGTAAATAGTTCCAATAGTTTCCGGCAGTAATTATGTCATAACGCTCGAAAAACATTTCCTTGGCAAGTGCAAGGAATTTTGGCGCACTCCGACGGCTGAGTGTACGGGGGGGGGGCATTTC